TTCGTCTCGTACAAATCATCGACGCACAACTGCGCTAATGCCCTTCCATTGGCTAACATTCAAAGAATCCCTGAGAAATCAAACATTTACATGGGCAATTTCAACGTAGCGCAGGGGGCAGTATCCGGATAAAACAGGGATCAAGGAATCAATCGAAATATCATACGCAACAAGGACATGTTAGCGGAGCAGCCTGTGTTTCATCCTTTAGCTGTAAACACTGATCGTAGCATTCGCTCAGAGTGGGAATCACCAGTACAGCCTTCTCTCCAGCATATTTATGATGAACATGTGCTAAACATCCCGTGAGAATCTGCTATTTTTCATTTCTCTTCCACGTCCCCGTCACTCCTCATTACTGTGCTATTCTTCTTCAACAGGATTTCATAAAGACTTGTTTGAATGATGGATTATACCATCTTTTTGATCGATTATTGAAAAGTGACTGGCTGGTTGGATGAAAGCGACTTTTGAGTGGACGGTGTGTTCAAAAGTTTACCAGATCTGTTGAATTGTATAAAACCGGCAAAAAAAAAAGACGAGGGAGAAGACCGCGCACACCTGGATGTTGAACTTTGAGTCATTTGATTATACGTGGGCATTGAACATCCCCTCAAAATTTCAGCTTTCTAGCTTTTCGGATTCCCGAGTTATTACTTTATCCGCCGGAAACTTTCACAGGCCCGCATGTGGCCCATGAAAGTGTGAAGGTGCTCGAAGGTACCCACCAATTTACCAGTGAGACGATTCGTTCATTTATGTCGATTGTATAAAATACAACTTTTCCAACAGAACATAAAACACGTTACATACATAATGAAAGCTAACATCCCCTAAATGCTCTACAATAACTCCCCATACCAAATCCAAAGCCCTCGGATCTATTTGAGGATGACCCAAGAAGCGAATGACGCGGCGATAAATCACCTTAAGACGTAGATCCTTTTGTAACAGCTTAATACAAGAGTGTGACCACAGCTAGCCCGGTTGATGCATCGGGAGGAAGCGGGGTGAAACCGGGGGCGAGGGGAGTGGGGGAGGACTGGGGAGGGGTGGAGGGGTGGGGGGAGG